GACTACTCTCTCTGACTCTCTGAAATTATATTCATTTTGTGTCAGCAAATTCTTGATTAGCCTGATGAAATATTTCAAGACAGAGGCAATTCAGACAAAAGCCAATTAGCTTCCCAATCCAGAGTTGTTGCAAGCAAGAGAGAATAGTTAGACCAGCTTTCTCAGGCGGCCTGTTAGCCTGGTTATAACAGCCAAGTCCAAAGTCAACTGATTTAAACATAGAATGTACGAGAAGAGAAGACCTTACAGCCAGGCCGAGGAAGTGGTATGCGTGGAGGGAGAGAGGGTGGCAGTGTGAAGAGTTCGGAAAAACTCACAATTTATCTGCTAACTAAACTTGCTGCCTGAGTCAGTCTCCCAGATTGAATGACAAAGCAGCAGGCCAAATTTAGGTCACTTGCCTAAAATACCAGGCAGCAGGGAGGAAATGTCTTGTCCTCTTGAGATTTGATAGTACAGTGGTTCTCAGCCTTCCTAAGGCCGCAATGTATTTTCATTGTTACAAAGGGGTTGTGACCCACAGGTTGAGAACCGCTGCTATAGTAGGAATTAAGGCTGATCTTTTCTATAGGATACGTACAGGAGAAATTTGAATTTAGTAAGAGTGGGGTTCAGATGCTGGGCAGCCCAAGACAGAAACTCAACGAAACAAAACACAGCAAAATAATAGTACAGGTGGGCTCGGCGCCCGTAGCTCAGCGGTTAGGGTGCCACATACACAAGGGCTGGTGGGTTCGAACCTGGCCCAGGCCTGCTAAACAACAATGACAGCAAAAACAAAAGAATAACTGGGCACTGTGGTGAACTCCTATAGTCTCAGCCACTTGGGAGGCTGAGGCAAGAGAATCACTTAAGCCCAAGAGTTTGAGGTTGAGTTGTGATGTCACAGCACTCTACTGAGGGCGACATAGTGAGACTGTCTCAAAACAAACAAACAAAAAAACACTGCAAGTATATTGTTTAGTAATGTTTGCTTTGTCTATAGGCGGGAACTGTGGATCTTGGGAAGGAAATATAGACAGGGCTCACCTCAGGGCTGAGTAGGAAAGCCCTTCCTTACCAAAGGAGCTTGTTATTCGCATGGAACTGTCTTATAGGAGGAGATAGTGTAACTCTCTTGGAAACCTACTATACTTCATGTTTTATTTTAGGTTTGACTTTTCAGCTTTTAAAAGAGGTTTTAGTCTGTGATGAGAAACCCGCACCTGTGATTGGGGCACGTTGCCAAAGTCTCATCTTATAAACATGGAAGCCTAAGATATTGGTATATAAATTAGGAAGTTTATTTATATATTTTAAAAATATTGCTTCTATTAACATATGGAATTTGACAAATACCCAAACACTGCAGTCAAAGAAAAAGTAGAATATGAATGTTTTGACATAATAACTAAGAAAGTTACATGAAGGCTATGTTAACCAGTTTGATGGAAATGTCATGGATGGTGTGTGAAAATACCACACTGTACCCCCAAAGTGCATCAATGTACACAGTTACCATTCAATAAAAAAAAAAAAAGAAACCAAAAATCAGCATTGTTCTTACCATTCTCATTTCCTGTTGCTTTCCTCTTAGATTTATTGATTACACCCGTGTCTGTGCTACTTACACGTCTAGGCTTTACTTAGAAGCTCTTCTGCTAACTCACCTTGAGTTTCTAACATTGAGTCTAGACTCTCAGACCCTTTTAACGTTTATTCTGGTTCCTCCTCCGCTGCTGTTTAGTCTGTCATCAAAGTCCTTAAAAGGCTTATTTCTCTCCCCTGCTGACGGCCTCTGATTCCCTACGCTTTTCTTCTCCAAACTATTAAAAGAAGAATTGTTAGGGAAGAGAGAGAAGGGTCGTGTGCGGCTTTGATTACCTGCTCCTGGTTCCCTGTGGCCTGTATTTTATTAAGTAGAAAAGACAGAGACGGGAAGATGTAACGAGTAATACTAATGAGAAAAAAACATCAAGAAGTACCTTGTATATTACTTGATTCAATCGCCAGTGTTTGGTTTCTACGGAAAGGCTAGGTAAAACTTTATTAACTTGGTTAGCATTTCTCGTTTAATTAGTCAGCCTAGGCTAAATTGTCAGAGGGATACAAAAGATCTGAAAATTTTGCACAATGATTCAAAAGCAGAGCCTTTTCCAAACTGCCATCCTTTTTGTAGATTTGAATATTTTAAATAACACTTTATTAAAGGTTTTTGACAGAAATTTGAACCCAGACTGAGATCTATTATTTTATTCAGAAAATATTGGTTTTGTATGCCACGCCCTGATAGGAACAAGGGATATGGGAAAGTGGACTCATTCCCTGTATTAGGCGTCCTCAAACTGCGGCCCGCCTAGGACATTTATCCGGCCCGCTGGGTGTTTTTGCTGCCACTGCCTGTCCTGCTTAGCAGCTGACTGGTCCCGGGGCCCTCAGTCCAGCCCTCCAATAGTCTGAGGGACAGTGAACTGGCCCTCTGTTTAAAAAGTTTGAGGACTCCTTCCCTATATTGCTAAGGAAATAGGAAAACGTGTGAACAATTTCAATATAACATAATAAAGATTGTGATAGGGGTTAGTGTTGCATTCTGTAGAAACACATGTGAGGCACGCATGTCAGGTGGGTTAAGTAGAGTCTAGGGAGGCTTTCTGGAGGAAGCAATGCATAAAATCAGCCCAGTTGTGTACCCTGTGCTTGAAATGTTTTCTCATCAAGGTATCTCATGGTTCACGTTACTTGACTATTATGTTCTCAGTGAGCTCTTTCCTGACCGTACTAAATAGAAGTGTTCCCGTGTACACCACCTCACATCTAACTTTTTTTGCTTTCTTTTTAAATTTAGTATTCATCATCCAGGATCATTCTCTATTTTTTATTTATCTTCTTTATGCGGTTTCCTCTTCTAGAATGTGAGTCCCAAGAGGGCAATCTTTTTTCACTGGTTCACAGAACAATGCTTTGCACACAGTGACTATTTGGACAGTGAATGAATGGGATAACTTTTGAAATTTCTAGGTGATTGTAGAAGTTTTATTGGAGAAAGATATAATCTTTAAATCATACCAGTAATAGAAATGGATCATCTTGCCAAGTAAATTCTATTTTTTTGACGAATTTTAACTTATTCGCGTTCAGCTTGGAAGTTCAAGATTTCCTCCTTGAATTTCCTGCACTTAAGTCTGCCTCCTGGGAGACAGTTTACTGTGCCCTTCCTCTTGCCAGCTCTTTTCCAGTTATAAATTATCATATTAAACCTCTGTGAAATGAAAAGGGTGTGTAGGCAAGAGTGTGCTTGTAGCTGTATTTTTTCTGATATCCGTCATTTTAAATTATTCCTACATTAACTTTATTTTCAGTATCACTAATTTTCTATTCAATTTACCTCTGTATGTGACACGTGTGATCTTTTTGTACTTTAACAATTATGGATTTTTATGTATTTATTCACTAAATAGGAATGTGACCCCCCCAGAGGGCATTGGAGAAAATTTCCTGAATACGTGTATACTGGAAAACTGATAAAACCCAGTGTGAACTAAGTTTTCCTGATTTAATTCAAATCCGAAATTGTCTACTATCTCTTCTGAAGATAATTTTGTGAAATATAATTATGGTAGTGGTTATAATTACAGAGGTTGAATCATTTAGGAGAGAAAATTACTCTGAAATCAAGGTCTGTGCCCCATGAGAAGTCCTCCGCGCAATCCTTGCCTGTCAGGATGTTCTGTTCAAAACAGAACTCCATGGACTCATAAACATGTTGGGGTAACATAATCCAATGTCTCTTTGGCATACCAGTATTTTCCTAAGCAAAAATTAAAAATATAAAAACCAAA